TAGGGCACCTGATGATGGCACTATGTTGCCGAAACATGTCGTGAAGTAACAGGTGAAATTGAGTGCACTACAAGACGGCCACTGTATACATATCATGGATGAAAATCAGTGCAACAGGACGCTAAAATACAACATTATGAAAATTATTGTGTATGAGAATTCCAATCGCATCCAAAAATTTGCACACTGGCTACCATAACCTATAAGTAGACAAGAATATGGAGTATTATAACTTCGGGCCATCTCCATTAGATCCACGGTAATAAGCAAAAAAGAGACGCACTAACAGAAAAGTTACATTTTAGACAATGTTAACGTTTTCAGAATGACAGCTGATTCCACTTCGTTTAACTGTACACCTCATAAATAAACCGTGTAACTGACAGAGCGATGGATGTCCTACACTCACCGAAGACTTCTCGGGGTTGATGGGCACAATCCGTTGCTGGCCGGCGGAATGAACATGCGCGCCAAACCCAGGCGCCACGACCTCTTTCCTCTCAGTCCAGGGATTCCCCTTCTTGATACGCGTCACTGAGGTGTCATCTGCCTTCGGGAATAGTGTCCCCTGAGGGTCTAGCCTCTGCGCTGCGACCAGCTGACCGCGCGATCGCGCAGAACCGGAAGACAAGGATCCTGAGCCTGCCAGCACCCAGTCCACATCTGATCCTGGAAAAGCAGTGGATGGAATGACACAGAAAGTTTCCCGAAGGAACAGTGGCACAGATCTCATGTTTAAAAAATATGAAGCAATACCATGCACAACTATTTTTTTATTGTTAGAGGGGTGGGACTAAGTCCCTTGTACTGCGGCCACTTCTGGCCAATTGTACTAGCCCCAGATGATAGGTGAGGGTGATTGTGGAGCAATTGGTGGAATGAAGATTGGCAGGGGAAACCGAAGTACTTGGAGAAATTCTGCCCCAGCACCACTTTGTCCACCACAAATCCCAGACCCGGGATCGAACCAGGGCCGCCGCGGTGGGTAGCCAGCTACTAACCGCTTGAGCTATGGCGCGGCCCATGCACAATTAACTAACGAAGTTTATGGAACATAATTCTTCGTGACACGGTAACATTCAGCTAAAGAAGACATTGCCGTGTGTAAGGGAATCCGAGGCTGTGCGATAGCTCAGGCAGTTAATCGCTGGCTTCCCACCGCGGGAGCCCGGGTTCGAGCCCAGGTCAGCTCATGTGGGGCAGGTTTCCTCCGAACACTTGTTCACCCTGCCAATTCTCATTCCACCGACTGCTCCACATTCATCATCATCTATCATCCGGGGCTGGTACAATAGGCCAAACAGTGGCCGACGTACCAAGTGAACTCAGTCTCAACCCACTCGAAGAAACTTAAACTTAAACTTAATGGAATCCGAAGTCCACAACCTTCCACCCAGTTCCACGCAGCTCCATGTTACTACTATCCGCCCTTTTATACCTAGATCTTACAAGCGGGCTTTGGTTTCACGGCAAGACTGTACAGCCTCTTTTGTAACCACTCCTCTTTTAATTTTCTACAGATACCTTTCGATTTCATTGTTCTTATTTGGAAAATGACATCACTTGTAATGCTCCGAGTAAGTTGGACCACTGGACCAAATTACAGGCTGACAAGTGGGCCTAATTACACGCCTATGTACAAAGAATGACATGTTGAAATAATACAAATGATTTTAAAATGCATGTACAGGATTCCCACACGCCTTGCCTTGAAGATTTGTAGATATTTTGGTGTCTTATTACTCACCGTTTACATAAAATACTATTCAGAACACAATGTCTCACCACAGGGCAAAATTACAAAGAAAACTAACAACAAGGTTTTGTCCTTCTTTTGGTCAGAAGTGCACTCGTCAGAATAAAGACAACTGGGGAGAAAATGCATCCTTCAGAGGCAGTACTAACACCATCTGAAGTGTGCTTCTATCTGTTGTGGTATTTCTGAAATCCGATAGGTCCAAAATACACGAACTTCCCATACTTAGTGACTAAGAATATTAATTCTTCGGTCCTCTTTTTTTCCCCCCCCATTGGCACTACAGCCCCAGTGGGCCTAGGCCTACCTCCATGAACTTCTCCGTTCACTTCGGTTTTTCTAGAACTTAGACATACGGTAGGACTCCTTGGGCGGGTGATCAGCTCGACGCAAGGCCTCTACCTGTACACAAACACAGAAAAACGCACACACACAAACTAAACATCCATGCCCTGAGTGGGATTCGAACCCACGATCCCGGTTTCCAAGCAAGCGAAGACAGTAAGTACATGCCTTAGAGCGCTCGGCTACCGTGACCGGCTCGGTCCTCTTTACTTAACTAATAAAAGTTGTCCCTGTGATTAACTATTTAAGCACTACGCCATGAAGACGTATGGGGGAGTGGACGTATAGACCCACGTTTACTTGACCTCGGCATTAGTTGGAAGTGAGTGGTCAGCTTCATGCCCCGGCCGCTTAACCCCCGGGGAAAGAGCCACCGGTACTCATGGGATGGGAGTCTGAGTGGATCCCAGAGCCGGTCCGGACGACATGGAGAAGAGAAAATTCTTGACCCTACCGAGACTCAAAAACTCCGAATCTTAGGTTGTCCAGCTCGTACCCAGTCGCTATACCGACTGAGCTATCCGGGCCCCTCTTTACTGGTTTAATTTAAAAGCATATTATACAAATTCTGAGAACTCTCTTGGGGGAGGGGATCAGACAAAAAACATCAGGATATTTTGCGTTAAAACTTACCAGTAATAATACTGTATATTAAACTTTTATGTGACCCTGTTTATTGAATAAATTCATGCATGTAGTATTTATATTGTGCTATTTATTTTAATTGGTATAACATATTTACACTGATTATCATGCTGTCACGCGATGGCGTGACTAACGCACAATCGAATCCTTATGTAGCCTCAGAACACTTCTACCAACAGATCTACTTTTGCATCACGTACCTATCGGCACGCATTACGTAGAGACAGGACACGTAATGAAAACACAACGGGGAGAAGCATAACATATGACCCACAACACAGACACGCATCAGAGGGACCGCATATGCATCAGCAACAGGTGAAAGCAGCGATTTCCTTATTAGACATATTTTTAACACCTGATGATGGCCATGTTGGCCGAAACATGCAGCGTATTTCAAAACTTAAAAAAAAAACTTTAAACTCGTAAAGGTGATAAGTTTTGTGGAACGTTGCGTTGCACGTAAAAGGACGCAATATGCTTACCCACTTATTTTAACATTAAAGAATTCTGCAATTTCGCACACTGTATTTATGGATTTCGTATGATTTTCAAAATAAACAGCAATCATTTCGTTACACCGCACTAACTGACTGATTTTTGTAACGCAGACGCGGTGTTCCCTGTGAGCTGGGAAATGTATCTTTAAATATTATTTGCATGATCTTGGAATGGTTACGAAAGAGCGGGGCGTAAAAGTCTTTTAATAAAATGATGCGCCTACCCAGCTTCACCCAACAAATAAAATGTCCTTCACTTCTCTCACGACTTTCGCTCTTCACCTGTTCTTTCTTACCTCTCTCGCATAACTTACGTATCCGAGGAGGTGGCAACTGATGGTGGCGCCTGATACAAGCACTGGACATTGCGTATCGAAGCCACTGACACAAATGTGTTCACATCCTTGCGATACTAGCAAATAAATCACGTTTTGTGCTACGCATCTGGACAAGAAAAAACATGGCGCTGTACCATGTTACGATACTGGACGTACAATTTACGAATGTTCCGAGAACAGGGCTACTGCAGTTTGTACTCTCCCAAGGCTTGGACCCGGGCCAGATGCTACGAGACACAGAAGGGGTGGCCAATCCAGAACCCGCATCAGTAAATCTAGGACAGAGGGAGAAAATTCAGTATAGGGAACGCATATTTTTCCGCGGTTTTAGATATGGATCCATAAATTTATCAGTTGAGACGGAGTCCTACGGAACACAATAGAAAGCCACGGGTACTACCGAGAGCCGAAACAACGTTGGTTCGCGCAATGTAGACTCAGTTTAAAGAGCCTATTCCAGAAACTTTAAATCACAAGCAATTCATCGGAATATGACGGGATTTTCTTAACTGTAGATAATGGTTTAATGCATTGATAGACAGACAAGCACCAATGACCTTGAACTGTATTCGAAATCTGTGCCTCCGTGTTTCTCTCATCCGAGAGCTTGGCCAATAGTATTTCCTCACACATATCGGCGCTTCAGCCCGATTCGAGACTTGGCCTCTTGAGTTGTAGGTGATTAGACCAATGCAAGGTATGACCATAAGGGGGGGGGGCTGAGGTTTCTTCTGGCCTAATTTAAGATTTTATCTCGGCACTTGTCTGAAGTCGCTGAGGAAAACCACAAAGTATCTTAGGATAGCAGGTCTGGGGGTCAACATTTTAAAGCGGAGCGTCCCAAAAAAGACGCAAGATAAGGCAGCAACATTCGATTTGTTCCCTCAAACTGCAACTTGATTGAAACACAAACTTATCTTTTATTGTGACAGTCCTGTAAATACATACTGCTGCTCGGTCACGTTCTGTGATGTGTCGCCATGACGCTGCATGCTGTGAGTGCAGTTGACATCAATTGTGAATTATTATATAATCTAATTACTTTATTTTCTCTGTTACAAATACAGACATACATGTATGAGATTCAAAACTGGCAGAATGGCCTGTGTTTAGTTTCGTACCCACGATCGGCCTGAAACATTTTCTCAGGAAAGCGCATTACTTAGTGCATACCGAGGCCATGGAATGAGGCCGCATGGATGTTGTAAATGAGGAACTAGAGGCCTCCTATCGTCTGGAGTTTCATTCTAGTTCCCTCTGGCCTATGTCAACAATTCCGAAGTACTTTTCTCTCTGTCTTCTTGCTCACACTTTGGAGCATACGGCTGATTTCTAAGTTTCATGAACATTTTACAAACAATGGGACTCCTTGGACTAGGGATCAGCCCGTCGCAAGGCCTCTACCTAAACACAGGACAACACAAACACAGAATAAAAGCATACACACACCAAACATCCAAGCCTTGTGTGGGATTCGAACCCACGATCCCGGCTTCCGAGCGAGTGAAGACAGTACATGCCTCAGACCGCTGGGCTACCGTGACAGGCCTATTCCAAAGCATTTACGCGTAAAAATGTATCTCGGCTATCCTTACCTACAAAGTTTAGAGAGAACTGATAAACAGCTCGAGGGGAGGGACATGTAGAGAGCTACGTTAGATGGTAAATGTGAAGGTAAAGTTGTCCCTGTGCTTAACGAATTAAACACTACGTCATGAAGGCGTATGGGGGAGTGGATGTATAAATCCACATTTTCTTGACCTCGGCACTAGCTGGAGGTGAGTGGTCAGCTTCACGTCCCGGCCGCTTTAACTTCGGGGAAAGAGCCCCCGGTACCCATTGAATAGGAAGCTGGATGGGCCCCAGAACAGGTCTGGAGGACGTGGAGAGGTGAGAAAATTCTTGACCCCACAGGAACTCGAACTCCGACCCCCGGCCGTCCTGCCCGTTGCTAGTCGCTATACCAACCGAGCTATCCCGGCTGGAAAATGTGAAGAGGGCTGCAGACGGACGCAACTTGCAGCCGCTGTGCTGCGCTCGCTATACTCTGATGGGAGTATCATGGCAGCGTACGTGTCCACTGGCCGCAGGAGGCTCCTAGCGGCGGGGTTTGAGGCTGTTGCGTCGAAACTGTAGGAAGTTAGGGGCGCTTGTTGCTTGTTGTAATCGTTGACACAAATAAAAAACAATGCATAGTTGTGTTCAGTGCTAGAATATTTCACTTGGAACACCAAATTTTTCTGTTACACCTTCTGAGCAGTTTTCACCGAGCAGGTTGACGTAGTGGTAAAGCTCCAGACTTGTATCTGGGAAGTGCTCAGTTCGAATCTCGGTCAAGATACAGGTTATTCTGATACATCTTTGTGGTTTTACTCAGTTCCTCAACAAAAATTCCGGGGGTAGTACCTCGATTAGATAACGAAAGCTTCCTTCCAAGTTCTTTACAATTCTTTATTCATCAATCATCATAAAATTCGATGCTTTATATATACTGTGAGATGTGACAGCTTCATGAAATAATTAAAAGAAAAGATTTCGTCATACACGTGCCATCATAACATAAAATCATCCACTTACATTACACAGCATTCTTGACATAAATATTTGCTTTGAAGAGTACTATCTCTCGGGACATAACGCCGTTAACAATGTGATCTTTCTTCCATTGTTATTACTGTTCTAGTGAGAATATTTCCCCCGCAAAATCTAACGGTAGATTCATATTTGAGTTGGCTAGACTGACATATAGAACCTATTTCCAAAATGGCTGTGGAACTTACTTTATTTAAAAGCGAGGTTCAGCCCTCAGCTGGGCTCATGTTCTACTGAATGAAACCACTCCACCTGCTACTCAAATGATTACCAAGTCGGGATTCGAATCGTGTCCATGCGAAAGGCCGTATATAGGGGCGATCAACGGGACATCTTTCCGTAGCCTTGGTATAGTTGGAAGATACGACCTAGCACTCAACAATAATTTCGTAAAGGAATCGAATAACGTCAAAATTTCAAGGCTTCCCTATTTACGTCCATTTGTTTACTCATCCAGCTGAACCTATCATCGAGCAGGGTGGCAAAGCGGTAATAATCCAGACATATATTAGAGGGGTCCTCGGTTCGAATCTCTGACGGGACACCGGCTACCATAACAGATTTATGTTGACTTCCTCAGTCAGTCAAGAAAAATGACTGGAGAGTCCTTCGATTTAGTAACTACCGCTTCCTTCCATATCCTTTCCGATTCATTATTCATTTATCGTACCACTCGACGCCATAGAGCCTAGTTAATGACATCATCGTAACCGCCACCCCCGAAGTAAACATACAGAGTGCTCCACATATCTTTCGTTACCACCGATAAAGCACGTAAACATACAGAGTGCTCCACATATCTTTCGTTACCACCGATAAAGAACGTAAACATACAGGGTGCTCTACATATCTTTCGTTACGACCGCTAAGGATACATAGAGCACCCACAGTCAGCTACAACAGCTCGCCATATATGACTCCATTTGCACTGTATGCTCCACTGTACATCCATTCACCGGTAACTGTTTTAAATCTAACCATGGAACATGCTATCTAATGGCAGAAAGTTCAGACAGTTGTACCGCGAAATGGGGTTTAGTTATGTCATGACACTGGGCAGATTTGCCTGTATCAGAACATGCACATACAGTATGCGCCAAAATTCAGTACTGAAATGAAAAGACATCCTGTTGATACCACTGTCTATTCATGTGAAGGCCCCTTGCACGACAGAACCTTCTCAAATCCTGATGAAATGGTCCGATCACTATGTCCCTGTAGCGTTCTTGG